TTTTGTGCTGCCACAGGATCTATAATTTCTTAACAAAATTGCTTATTTATATAGTTTTAATTCATTTAAGTACATACAATATTTAAGTTACAATTAGTTTAAAAAAAAAAAAATAATAATAATTCAAAAATCTGCACTCATAGAACACTGTAGTTTAATTCGATTCTTCTCGCCTTATAGAGAATGCAAAGCACTCTTTTACATACTCGCTGATTTGGTGCCCTTTTGGCCACAAAGTTTCAAAGGATTGGCATTGGCATCTTTTGTTACATTTACAGCAAATATAAAATTATTACACATTTCTTTAATGATTATTTTCAAATGACACTTTTATTGATTCTAATCAAAATATACTATATAACGTAATCTATTCTTTTGAAAAGAGTAATTTGAACAATAAAAACGCTAAACAAATCTCTAGAAAACAAATCCACAGACAAGAGATTTAAGATTTGTGCTTATATCACATGATTAACTAAAATAATTATATTTTTTAATATTAGTGCAGACAATGGATCCTGGGATGAATCATCGCCAGGAGTATATTTTAAGGCAAAAGCATTTAAAGTAGCGGGTCTCCACCCATTAAAAAATATTCACGGCTCCCTCGCCGAAAGCAAAACGATCTCTCTGGTTGTGCCGAGAATGACCGTGGCATGAATATGCGCGAGCCAAAAGTTCAAGAAAACTACAATCACCTCCGCAATAAGTGCGTGACGCCGAACACTGTCACCGGCGCTCGCATCAAAAACCTAATCGGTCGGCGAAATTGGCTGAGTCGGGACTCAATCAGCACCGATAAGCATCACTTTTGGCCAGGAATTTACTTTCGTTTATCGCCGCCTTTGATTGCGACCGGCCATTCTGCCGACGAGTGTGTGTTTATTTTTTATCTCTCGCGGCGGAGCGGCGGTGTTTTCAAAAATAACGGTAGCCCCTCTGAGAAATATTACGTTGTGTGCGCGAGGAAAACTGGTTTCCATCTATCTAGTCTCTCTCATTCTTTCTATGCTGCAGTTCGTGCCTTTTCATCATAACGTAATGCAAAATGGCCTATATTTGACCGAGCAGCTCTCACGCTGCTTTAAAACTGTTTAAAAATCTATTAGTCGGCGATCAAATCGATCGCGGATCGACGCCTCAGCTGAAATCGGAGCCGTTTGAAAGGAGCAGTTTGCTAGCGAGAAAAGTGTTTGTGTAATTATATGGAGCTCATCGAGCAGCGGTGCTTTTTGCACGAGGTTTGAAAGCAAAAGCAGATGGAAAGCGGGGAACTGGAGCAAATTCCGAACACACATAATTTTGCTCCGCCTCGCTCTTCATATGTCGTGGCAAATATAATTAATTAAGCCATTATTTGATCTGGTTTTTTTTTCATATTTGCTTTCTTATTAAAATAGATTGATATTATGATAATCAGCTATTACATTTCCTGACGATGATAATACTCTTGATCTGTAGATAGTGTACATGAGAATTATTGATATATTTTATTTATTTTAAGAACTTTATGTAATTTTAAATAAACTAAAATTTATTTCAAAAATTCTACTCAAATATTCCTCAATTGCAAGCAACTAATACAATAAAAATTTTAATATAATAATAATATAATAACAAAACTAAAAACAAATTTAAAATTTTTTTAAATTATTAAATTAATTTATTATCAACATAATGTTTTAAATATATAATAATGCATTTCACAATTTAAACAAATATTTAAAAAAAAAACATTAAAAATGCTAATTTCTTATCTAAGGTGTTGATTGTAATTAACGTTTTAAATTTTTATTGTCCCTTTTTTCCTTGTGATCATTATATTTTAATGTTTAGAGTGATCTTCGCTAAACTCGCGATAGGGAATTGAATTTAATTCAGTTGAAGCCTCACGACGGTGTCGAAATTCAAGTCATGCTGAACAATACGCAATAAACACACCGTCTCAATGCCACCCGCCCTTTCAAGAGACGTTCTCAGTGCCACGGATGAGAATAAACGCACGGTGTGCAGAAAGGGTTCATCGAGATTGGGCGCCAAAATTAGTATTCGCGGCGCACCTCGAGCGTGCAGTCTCTAACATGGGGCAACGGAAGGGAAAATCCCACCAACGATTTCCATTCAGTTTCCTGTGTTTTAATGCAAGCCAAAGAAGCCTTTGAGCGCTTTGTATTTATTTTGAAAACACACGCACCCCGAGTACGCACACAGAACGACAGAAGCAGTGGGTCTGTGAAGAAGCCTTGGCAGTGATATAAATAGCCATAACTCGAGCAATGATCTTCCCGATTCGAGATCTCGAGAAAAAACTGCTCTGTCGCCAACCGGCAGACCAGAGAGAGAAACGCCGTCTGAAGTGCTTCCTATCATTTGATGCAACATTTAGCGCTCGCTTCCTTCTTGGCTCGCCACGCTTTGTTTCAAATTTGCTTTCGGTCAGAAAACAAATATATCCTTGGCTAGTATACAAACGTGTGAGTCATTTCGCGGAGAGACGAATTCGTGGTCTGCTTTATTGGCCAATAAAAAGTTGGAGCGTGATCTTTCAATGGGGCGAGACTTGAAGGCGGTAAATCACGACTGAGTTAAAAATGACAGGAGGAATCGCATTCAAAATTCAAGAGAAGGCCTTGTTTGCAAAAGCTGCTCCCAAACTTGCAAAGTGAAAAGACACATAAACAAAACCGTTTCCTTGATGAATCCCTTCTGAAATTTTGTCGCCAAAATTTAAAACTTCAATTAAAGCCTAAAACTTCGGTGAATAATTTTTTTACATCAATAAATATGTGTTATAAAATTTTTGCATATTTTAGTTGCAATAATTGTAGTTTTATTCTTGATCGCAAAAAATCCAATAAAAAATATGATAAAAATAAACTCCAGCAAACATAAAAAGTATGATAAATATTACAGTTTTTATTTATTTTTTGTCATTATTAAATTATTTATTTATATAAATAAATTTATCATTAATTCATTATTTAATAATTTTATTGCACACTTATTTATAGTAGTTAGGAAAATTAACTAGTCATATTCTTTAACTTACTATATTGTAAATTTTGTAGCTTCAAATATTTGTTTAAAACAAAATTAGCATTTTATTGATGTTTAAGCAGTGCATCTAATTTTCCGTTTTAAAATAGATCATCACTATTGACGTATGTGTGGACTGATGTTTGCTTTTGATGGCTCCTCTTTTGTTTTAGGGTCAGTTAATTTTAAGAGGGCAATATATTTTTCGCGGCCCCCCATAAAAATAAATCCTCCGCAACTGGCCTCTTTCCATCTCCATCAACTGCATGCAAACGCCTGCCCGCTGAGGCCCAGTTGCAACCCTTTTAATGATGTTTTAATCGCCTCGGGAGAGCCTCGAAATAGAACGCATAAGCCGGGAGTAGAAAATTTATGCATGCCGATTCCATCTTGGCTGTTTATTTTCCAAATCCGACAGGCCTGCAGCCCACATTGCACAGGCGGATTAAGTTTTCGGGGTTCGCCTGCAGTCCCAAAAAGCAACATGAGATTAAAATAATTAACATTTAAATTGAAAATTTAAATAAGGAATAAATAATTTCAGCTAATAAATAAATTGCGAATTGTTTTGTGTTACTCCGTGATGGTACCAATAAATAACTAACAATTTCCTCACAAGAAAATATTAAGCTGGTGAGACAAGCTTGGAAGTTTGTTATAAATATCAAGTATAAAGTTTCCCTCCGAGGAACCCATAATTCAAGTGCTGAGCACTTTTTATGCTCGAGCACATTACGATGGTTGGTCCTCGATAAGAGCAGCGCCGTGTGCTAGAAACGGCGCTGCAATCATTGTTGCGTGCATAATTCAAATAAAATCCACATCCTGCGATTCAGCGTGTAATTCTAAGTCGCTCGTGAGTCTGTGTGAGTTTTAATATATGTATGAAATATCGATCCCGAGTCCCAGTTCTCATGCAGAATTACACATTCGCTCGTTGAGGAAGCGATAAAAAAAAATTATAATTTAAAAATTTCACATCAGGCTCAGCCACAGTTCTCAACATCAGCTTGGTTATTGTTTAAAAACTTCCGCCGCCTGATTGATTTATTTGCACCAACTAATTGACACTCGGTCCGGTCAATTAAAGTTAATTGGCCTTTTGATAAGACACACACCAGCACGATCGCAGTTCAAATAACTCCTTGTTAATGATTAGAAGGTGCAGATTGAACGTCGTGACGCAATGGAAATGAGAGAAAATGTATTGCTTCGAAATTTCTCGTTCCACTTCAAAAACCAGAGTTTTCAGATCAGGTTAATTTAAAATTCGAGCAGGAACTGTTTGCTGCCGGCTTCAATCCACACTCCAAGACTACTTTTACAACAATACAGCACGTCTACAGTGATTGCAATTTATGAAAGCGAATGAAAATATTGTTAATGCTTATTTATTTTAATTTATAAATACATTAAAGGCAAAAAACTGCATATCATTTATAATTATATACATAGATGGTACAAAATAAAAATAAATCACGCTATCAGAACAATTTTGATTTTCTTTAAAAATATCATAATTAATTTTTTTTTCAATGAAGTATTTTAAAATTCCCCTTACTACAAATGGGATTAAAGTTGTAAAACAAAATTATTTAAAAACTATTTAATTTAATTTTAAATAAATTCAAAAATTTATGCACCTAAATTTTAAAGAAATACATGTAATAAATCTTGTCCACATAGCAATTTCAATGCAATCAACAAGAAAAATAAATTTACAACAATTATTTTACTGTTTTGATTAAATCAAATTTTAAAATGATTTCTGATATTATTTATTTAGTTTTTGTCACCAAGAGGGAATTAACATCATGATATGAATTAAAAAAACGAGCTTATCATAGACCAAAGTTCATGTTTTGAGATTTGCATGCAGTTCGTACGTAATGATAATAATGAAAAGTAGGAGCCATACAAAGCTCTAGAGACAAAATCTACGATAAGATTTTGATATCAATTGTATAAAAAGAACAGCCACGTTACATAATTCAAATAGGAATATTTGATCATGGCTCGGTTACGGCAACTTTGTTCTCAAATATGCCTCGGATTACTAATTTTAGGTGTCAATGGTCAAAGTCCAACTGTGACCCTGGACAACCTGGGCACTTTGATTGGAAAAGAGATGACCACAATTAAAGGAAGAATTATTCACGGATTCCAAGGCATTCCCTACGGAGAGACAACAGCTGGAGCCAACAGATTTCAAGTGAGACGCAGTTTTTTGCAACATAATTTTTTTTTTTAATTTAAAAAATATTATCCAGCCACCCATTCCAAAACAATGGAGTGGTACTCTAGATGCCACAAACCCGGGAGCCATGTGCATTCAGCCTGATTTGGGTGTTTTGAGGCATCAACCAGGAGCGCCTATCACTTTTGAAGGTGGTCGTATTGCCACTATCGGGTCTGAAGATTGCCTCGTGCTCCACGTTTACACTCCAGACGTACAAATTTAATATTGATTTAAATTTTTTTTATTTAAATTCTTTTATTAAATTTAGCTTTTGCATAACAAAAATTTGCCAGTTTTGGTTTATTACCACGGTGGTGGATTTTTGAACGGAGATGAGCGTGACTTCAGACCAGATCACCTTCTCGACCAGGAGGTTATTTTGGTTGTGCCACATTACAGACTTGGACCACTCGGTATAATTAAAACAATCTAAATTTAATACTTTTATGTATATTAATTTATTTAAGGTTATCTTTCGATGCAAAATGATTTGATCCCGGGAAATGCCGGTCTTTTGGACTCAGTTGAGGTTTTGCGATGGATTCAGCTCCACATTTCCAAATTCGGCGGAGACCCAAACCGAGTGACCGTTTCTGGGCAAAGCACCGGCTCGACTCTTTCCCACTACATGATGATTACCCCACTCACTGATGGTATATAATATATGCAACACTGATTTAATGTAGTTCAATTTTTTTTTTATAAATTTTGATTGGCAGGTATCGTTCACGGTGCCATAATGATGAGCGGCTCAACGTTGACGTCGCTCGCTTACGACCGCACGCCGCTCAAGAGTGCCAGAGACATAGCCTCATTTGCAAACTGCCCAGTTGGTACCGACGACGAAGTCACTCAGTGTCTGCTCAACTTGTCACCCGAGGTCTTGGTCGACGCCCATGTTAATTATTATGTAAGAGATGCTTGAATGCTTTATAATTATTGAGATTAATCATATTTCATTCGGCATATTTAAGAGTGCCGGAGGAATCGGAGGCACCCAGCCTGTCATTTCGCGACCTGACGAGCCTGCAGAAACCAAAGTTTTGCCCGACGATCCCAAAGTGATCGTGCAGTCGAGCAATTACAAGGCGGTGCCCATGCTAGCTGGAGCCACCAGACACGATTCCATGTTTTACGTCAACAGTGAGTGGAGGTTCAATTAAATTTTGAATTTTATTAATTCGTTGAAAATTTTCAGCCCTGGATGTTGTTTTGACCGCTCTTAATTTGACTGAAAATGAACTTTTCATCAGAAAATTGCTAGCCCGTGAAGTTATTGAGTTTGCTGGTACTTATTTAATTTTTTTTAAGTATATATAATTAATATTTTATTAAAGGGATTGTGGATACGACTGGTTCAATTAGCGATATGACGGACTCCAAATACTTATCATATGTTACTACTGAGCAAAGGGGAAATTACACAGCCCTTATTCCTGGCTTGCTGGATGTAATGACTTTTTTATACATTTAAAATTTATTTATTTTTAATTTTTTACATAGATCCTATCAACCGAATTCATGAAAGCTCCGGCCTATCGAATCGTCCAAATAAATTCCCGACGGGCCGATAGTTATTTGTACACTTTCAGCTATAGAGGCCGTTACCACATTCCGGGCAACGGCATCAATTACCCGCCGACGCTCTTTGAAGATGGTGATTATTTGTTTATTTGAATTCAGACGCAGATCATAATAAATTTCAATCAAAATATCCGACAGGCGTTCCTCATAGCGATGACATGATTTACCTCACGCCCAGGATATCCGACCCTTTCAACGCTGAGGAACTCGGCATGGTCAATGTGTTGACCACTCTATGGTCCAATTTTGTCACCACAGGAAACCCGAATTTGCCAGTGCAGCTCGGCCTTCCACAGTGGCCCAAATATGACCTGGCCCAAGAGTCTTACTACGAAATTAATACAGCCAGCATCGCCAAACAGGACTACACTGAGGAGTTCCTCGTCGCCATTTACGACAATTTGCCTTATTCAAAAGCAGCCGGAAGACAATGAATGTGAAAAGTAAAAATTTCTCTATTTACACTAAAATATGAATTGAGTATTTAATGATTTTTATTCCTGAATAAAGCTTAAATTCACATTTTGTTTTTAATAATTTAAAAAAATTATAATCTTCTGCAATGTTCATTTTATTGCTATTTTAAAGCTCTTAGATAAAAGTTCTGACCCTGTTTTCGCGTTCTCCGTTCTGCCAATGAGCACCACGGCGCATCCTGTAATTGCATACAACAGAATATCGAATAGCTCGCACGCGTCACGTGCTTTGCTCTATTAAGCCCGCGACAGCACATGCTCTCTCGTACAAATCGAGGTGTGTTTTTCGCGAGGCGGGGACTTGAAAAGCGCATAGGTGTATACATACATAAACACACACGAATGCAGCAATAATATCATAATCGCAACGCATGACTCACTCTCTTCCCGCTATCTTAGACGGGCCCATCCCTTTTCCATCGCGAGAGCTGCAGCGAGAAGAGGAAGAGAGCAAATAACAATTCCGCCGTCCGAAATTGCTTTTGCAGCTTGTTAAATTCCCTCGGCGCTTTCAATTTCGAAGCAGAATAGATCGAGCTAAAAAAGAAGAAGTTGCTTTTACCACAAAGACCGGCCGAGTTTGATTTTCGTTCAGCGAAGAAAAACTCTTGGCACGAGGAATGGAGACTTGGTGAAAAGTGGAGAAAGATGATCATGAGAGGGCGCCCCCCAGGCCCTACTTGTTGTGTCATTTCTTTGTTTATCGCGGAAATTGCCAGTGGCCGAAGAGGAGATGGAGCTGCCACTTTGATGGCTCTGGGGGCTTTCTCGAGTTACGGGACCATTCCCCTGTGATGCGTCTGACGTCAAAAGTGCGGGAAGCAAAATAATGAAGCTTATTCTAGCTTAATAATTTAGGAAAGAAAATCAAAGGAAAAATTTGACCTTTCATTGTTGATAAAATTAATTTTTGATGTTTTTTTAATTAATTAATTAAATTTCATAAAATGAAATTGATTTCAAAATTTAAGATTGTTTCTTTCAATGTTAACATTTATTTTTTAATTTTTTTCTAGAGGAGCTTTTAAGAAAATTATGCTCTGTCTTCGCTAAAAGTTTTGTCGTTTTTCAGTTACAATTTTTTATTATTTTGATGATGTATCTCGATTTGGGCAGCGATTGCCTTCAGTTACAGGAGTTACAGTTTACACCAATAAGCAACTTGCAAATAAAAGCAATGTAGAGCGAAAAATAAAGTAAATTTTTCAATTTTTCTTTTTAAATAATTAATGATTAAATGAATAAATTATAATTTTATTAACTTTTATTTTCAAAAATATCTGGGCCAACAGTTTTAGTATGTTTTGAGCTCCATAAAAAATCACACCACAAAGGGCGTTTCCTCAGATACCCAGTGCACGTTTCCACTCTCGAGGCACCGTGCATTTTTTCCCACTAGGCATGTCATGCGCACCGGTCAAGCCAAAATCAATGACTTGATGGATCGCACCGATTCGGCGATCTGGTCACGGGACTGATTAATTACCTCCACCTGCAGCGCCGATATTTTCCACGTGCCCCGAGGGCCGGCCGGTCTCACATTGTTTGTTTGCTCGAAACCCTCGTGCTTCGGTCGTTTTTCATTTTCGCAGCAGATTGTTTACCGTTGCGACTCTCAGCAGATATCAAGAGTCAAATTAATCATGTTGAGCGTAATTAGCATGGGGAACAATGCACTCAATAAAACGAAGTGTATTATGCGAGACCAGTTTGTTTTCATAGCAGCTTCCTTTATGGTTCCGTTATTAAAATAGCAAATATTATTCCCGGCCCCCTGCTTGTCTCTTTGCACAAAAAGAAATTCGCAGTTAAACAAGCGCGCTCTCACGTGGTTTTATTTGCCTCGGAAAAGCAATAAAATTTTGATTCAAAGGGCACGGTCCAGTGGAGACGTTTTATTGCTGTAGATGTGAGTTGTATAGAATAAAATTTTCTTTCAAATATGTCAAGGAAATCAGAGCAGAAAATATCTTTCATATAATCTTCTCCTCTGAACCAACTTTTAAATACAGTGTCAAATATTTCAATTGAATTGGGTCTTTAAAGAGCCGTTGACATGGACAAGCTTTTGATGAATAATTTTTTTTCCATTCAACTAGAAATTTATTCAAGTATTCATCTTTCTCCAATGAGCATTATTCAAGTGATAGCGCACAATAAAACCACGTATGTATAGAAAGAACACTCCAGGCCATCTCTAGAGACGAGGCATATTTTCATTGTCTTTCTTTTTTCTCTCTCACTCCAATCTTTGCATCCTGTTGCTCTTGAGCGCACGCGACGAAAGAGAAATAAAAATCAAGTTGAATGCCGTGTTTTTTCTACTTTGGGAATTCCTGGAGTCATCATTAAGCAATCGTCACAGAATTCATTTTTCTCGCCGCGCACACGCAGCTCCACTCGTCGAGAGGAAATCGAAAATGACAGGGAAGGTGATAAAAAGAGCGACTGCGAGTGGAATTTATTTCTCACGTAAATGTAAATGCTCGCGCCGTTCTCAGAAGAATGCCGCGCTTGGAAATGAATGGGCGGCCGTTTCATATCAAGAATAAGAGGAAGAGGATTTCATTTTTGCGAATCTACATGGAATAAACACGCATCTCACCCATTTGGAAGATTAAAAACATACGCTCAGTTGAAATAAAAAAATTTTGAATTGAAACAAAAGCCTCTCTTCCAGATTGAATGGAAACGCAGCCGGTCGTAGATTTTCTCCGTTAATTAGCATACAATGTGCATTCAATGTGATTGAATAGAAACACAGTCGGCGCTGCTTTTCATCGGAGAAACAGTTTGAATGAAAAGGCTCAAGTTCGCGAACTCGTCGCCAGTGAAGAGCTAACTGGGCTGGGCATTCAACTGATGCATTTGAAACCGAACACGCCGTCGGCCGCATCGCATTGTGGCAAATAATAAGCGCACTCATTGACACAAGAGCGAATTCAAGAGCACACACACGGACCCATTCACTGCAGCTTTACACAGAAAAAGAGAGAAAGAAAGCCATCCAGCGGAGAGGCGATCGGTTTCGCGGAAGGGTAAGAAGTTTTCTCAAGAGTCTTTCAAGCCACCTCCTGTTGAGCTTTACTGTTTGCAAAAGTTATTTGCAAGGCATAAGTGAATAACGGCGCAAAATTCGTCAACGACCAACTGCAATAAGAGGAAGTGAAAAACTTTCTCACAAAACAAACCACTCCGAAGCAAATTGAAAGTTATTCACTATTATTTCAATTAACGTGAGAGAGTCACCTGCTGAGAAAAAAATTGAACTCTTGTGAAATACTCAAATTATTTTGCTCTAATTTTGGAAATTATTAAACATCATAAAATTTTGGTCCAAGTAAAAAGACAAAAGTTTCCGTGTTTAGTGCAGCGGTTCCGAATTGGAGATGAGCGTCTCGCTGCGGGCGGCATCAATTTTATAATTTAATTGGCACTGCCGGCACAATAAAAAGTCAAATCCGTTATTTAATCTAAATCGAACGTTGCCCCACACGGACAAAAGATCTAATCCTTTTCACACAGGAAGAAAAGTTCACGCCTTCTCTCGCATTAAAAAGTGCACCTGAACAAATCAACTGAAGCTTTTCTTTGCACGTTTGCGTGCGTGACAGTCGAGGCAGGAAAGGTTGGCTGCGAAAATTGGCTTTTATCTCTTGAAAGAAAGAGAAGCAAAACGAAATCTTTCTTTGCGTTTTGCATTATCGCAAGGTTGGTTGCACTAGCGCTGCGTTGCGTTGCTTATCAGCAAACACACAAGTTTATGTACAAAAGAGTGGGCGAAGCGGTACCGAGTCTCACTCATACTACAATGCAAACAGCAAGATTTACAATTACATGTCTTGTTTCTTTCTAATTTCAACAAGTTAGTTACAGATGTGCTACAATTTTCGATTGCTATAATTAAAATTAGTTTGGATCAAACATCTTAAAATTTTGAGATAAAGTAGTATTATTTAAATTGGACAATTTTATTTTTATTTTTCTTAAAAATATTGATTTCAAAATTTCTTGATAGCGAGAGGAAGTTTCAAATTAATTACACAGAACTAGTGCAAAATCACGCCTGACTTTCATTTCCGCCTGAGTAATTAGCTCGTCGGTCCAGAAAACGTATCGCCGCATGAAAAATAAGTCGGCTGAAATCACACGCTTGCGTCAACCTGCACAAAAGCATCCTTTGTTTCACAACCGGCCTTTTATAAATCATATATAATTTTTTGCTTTGCATATCACGCAGGTTGCGGAAATGCGGCGAGTAAGATGTTAAGGCGTCCGTTCTCAGTCTGCAGTGTGGGACGCGTTCCCAGCAGCAGCAGCCTTAAGAGAGCAATTAATGCACAATGCGTGTGTGTTTAATTTAATTACCGCCGGTTCGGGCCGCGCGCACTCCAGCTTCTTTGCGACTTTTTTTGTTTTGCTTCCTCTCTCTCTCCGTGTACCAAAGCAGGGGGCAATTAGAAGCAGCAACGTTTTGCCTTGAAAGAGGCTGTTGCATTATTTATTTATTTATTTATTGCGCCGGGAATAATTTAATTTAATTAGGATGGACGGCGAGTCGCTGCTCTCAGCGGAGAGATTACAAAAGGCGCCGAGCCGTGTTGAAAAGTATAACCGACACGACAATGCGCTGCTGAAAACAAAAGTTGGAAGCATAAATTGCTCTTTTTACGAGAGGCGCGCTCAAAACCCATTCACTGATTGCACATACAATGGCTGCGCGCTTATTTTCATGCCCGACAAACGTGAAATGCCTCATATAATAAAAATTAATTGATGGAGCAAAAAAGCCATTTTTCAGCTTTTGCCAACCGCGACCAAACGAATTCACCGCCTTTTACAAATTAATTAATTCCCACTTGTCATCTAATGAGGCGCTTCGATCGACGCGCGGTGAAGGGTGATTAATGAAAAAAGCAAGTCTCGTTTGCACACAACAAACAAAATGAACTGGCACTTTTCCAGGCAGGGTACTTGTGTGTCCTTCCTTGTAG